GGCATAGTTCTGTGATCATGGTCCCGTGACTAAGTGTTTTGTCTCCATTTCTTCTATCCCAGATGTCTATGCCAATGATCGCGCCCAAATCCACATCAGCAGTCTCCTCCAGAATCGAGCGAAGGGCAAGGAGGAAGTCAGGACGGATGTCAGTGGTGTGTGTGGTAATCATCACTCTGCTCAGCGACCACTTCACCCATTCCTTTTTCTCTTCGTCCACCGACCCGAACTTCAAGTTCCTCTTTTCGTATGCAGGGGTGGTGGCGAAGGTCCTGTAAAGCATCTGCAGCTCAATTGAGCCGCAGATCTCCGTTGCCGTTAACTTGTCTTGCATTTCCTGGGTGGGATAGTGGCGTTCCCACCCCAGGAGGCGGTTGATCTTCCTGGCTGAGCAGTCTACCCATCTTCCTCGAATATATACATTCTGTAGACTCTCAGCCTGGTTCAAGTTTGCATAAAACTCCCTCACCAGCGATACATCCACTGGATCACTAGGGTTTCTGATCAACCAACTCTGGCCCCGCTCCTCCAGCCAGTCAGCGAGCGGGCCTGTAATCTTCTCGGGGTCAAATCCTCTCTCATAGAGGATCCCCATTGCCTTCATCCGCTCATAGACCGCTGCTGCATCAATGTTGATAAAATGAAGTTTGTCAAACTCCTTGGATCTCAACACATCCTTTGCAGCATCAACCGCGTCCTTCTTGGAGATACTGCTTCTGAACGCCTTCATTTTCCTTAGCGGCTCTTTACAGCAGGCAAGTTTGTCCTTAATTTCTTTCAGCTGGTACTCCCTCAGCTCCTCATAGTCTAACCACCAGTCGCTCACCGGATACCTTTGCTCTGTTTCCTCAGTGTATTCGAATATGAGGTAGTCCTACGGGAACTCTGGGATGAATTTCCTGAAGGGAAGTAACTTCAGCTGCCTGAGCTTCCCTCAATCCTCTGTGAACTCTAACACTCTCCTCCTCCTATAGTATGCCTCAGGCGGCGCTGGCTCCACGAATTCAGCCCCTGAGGTTGTTGTCACCACCTTACGTCCGTCCGTAGATTTGATCCTTTGGACTCTCTTTTCTATCATCTCCTCAACCTTCTCAAACTCCTTCCTTAACGTTTCTCGCTTGACTGGATCTATTTTTTCAAGCCTGTCCTGAACCTAGGATTTCCAGAATTATTGTTTAATATACGAAATTTATGAATCCTGCCTTACTGCTTTAAGATGCTAACAACATTTATGTACAGGCAATCATTTTCACAATTTCAGTGATTTTAACCCTAGATCCTCCCCCTCGTAACGAAACAGAACACTACTGTGAGTGTTACGTTGTGAAGAAAAGAGAAAATCACAGAACAGCACAGAACATGCAGATTATTGTAAAATTGAACTATAGAAAGCAAGTATATTAGTTATTATATCTAAATCTAGCAGATAATAGACCTAAATTCACAGAAATCAAACATATAAACCATTTCGCAAAAATAAAGAACAGACAGGTATCGCAAAAATAATTTGTGATTCTGTATTGTTGAACGTTAAATCAGGGAAAACCAACCGTAAAATTGAGTTTATGTACTAAGGTTAACCTAGATCTTACCTTAGATGAAGCTATTAATGGTTGAAATGTCGAGATTTTGAGAAACTTTTGGTTTCAAGAGTGGCAGTTACTAAAGCTTCTGGAGGAAGTTACTGTAGGTCAAAAATGGAAAATGACTATTGACTGGGGTATTTATAGAATTTCCCATCTCTCGTCTGGAGGGCAAGCGGAGCGCTGCCAAGTCTGATGTATTTACTTATAAAGGCATAAGGGTGGATTTTCAGGGCGGGTGAGCGGGTAAAGCAACACTTCTTTTTATCTAAGGGTGACACACAAGCGGTGATGGAAGCGGTACTGGGTGAGCGATACTGCTCCCCCAGTGAGTATCAGGGTGAAACAAGCGAAGCGATAGGTGGCTTGGGTTAGACTCAGGTTAGAAGTTAAAATTCTAACATTAAACTACTCCTAGAAAGCGATAATCCTAACTATTTAAAGCAATAATATTATTCTAATGAAAGCGATAACAGAAATTGTAAACTTAAACTACGAAAGCAGTAAGAATTATAAAATCTATATATGAAAGCGATAAAAGAAAGCTTGTAAATTTTAACTATGAAAACGGTAAATTCTAACTAGGAAAGCGATGAAAGAAATCTGTAAAATTTGGCGGATATAAAATTATGCTTCTGGATTTCTTCTTGAAATTCTATCATCGAACGAGATTTTGAACCTCCACCAGATTAATATCTGCACTGGCCTGCTGCAATATAGACCCTTTGATATAGGGTTTCAGCCTCGTTCCATTGACTAGGAAGGAGTCTCTTTCTCCAAGGTTATCCAAATTATTGATCCTTATGGCTCCACTTGGCAGCACTTGTTTGATGATATAAGGCCCAGTCCACCGTGACTTCAATTTCCCTGGGAGTAAGTGGAGCCTAGTGTCGTATAAAAGAACCTTGGATCCCACAATGAATTCTTTCTTCTTCAATTTCCTGTCATGATAGAACTTCATCCTTTCCTTGTAGAGTTTTGCGCTTTCATATGCAAGATATCGGAACTCAGTTAGATCGAACAATCTTTTGGCGCGCTTCTCCTGCACTGGGAGAAGATCGAAGTTGAGATATTTGATAGCCCAATACGCGTGATGCTCGAGTTCCAGATGTAGGTGGCAGGCTTTTCCATAAGCAAGCCGATATGGGGACATTCCAATTGGAGTCTTGAAGGCTGTTCTATACGCCCACAGCGCATCATCCAATTTTTCTGTCCAATTCTTGCGACTTTTATTTACTGTGGTCTGGAGGATGTGTTTAATTTCTCTATTCGAAAATTCCACTTGACCGCTCACTTGTGGATGATAGGGGGTAGTCAGATGCTGACGAACACCATATTGTTGAATGCAAGATTGCAGCGCCTTATTCAGAAATTGGGTGCCTTCATCGCTTATTATCGTTCTGGGGACCCCAAACCTGGGGAATATGGTATATTTTAGGAAGCAGATCACAGATCGAGCATCGTTTGTGGAGAGCGCCTGCGCTTCAACCCATTTGCTCACATAATCCACCGCCACCAGAATGTATAGTTTCCCATTAGAAGGCGGAAGGGGACCCAGAAAGTCTATCCCCCATACATCAAATATATCCATAAACAAGATTCCAGTTTGGGGCATCTCGTCTCTCTTCGAGATAGAACCCAATCTTTGGCACTTGTCACAAGTTTTGGCAAAGGCATCTGCATCTTTCTGTAGGGTAGGCCAAAAGAAGCCTGACTACCAAACTTTGGCCGCTGTGCTCAGGCCAGCGAAATGCCCTCCTACATGGGACCCATGGCATTCATTCAAGATCAACGGGATCTCAGATTCCGCTACACAGCGGCGTATTATCCCATCTGAGCAAATGTTAAGCAAATAGGGTTCATCCCAAAAATAGTCCTTTGCTAAACTGAGCAATCTCTTCTTTTCCCATTGTACAATATGTGCTGAAAATTGTCCTGTAGTTATAAAGTTGGCCAAGTCTACAAACCATGGCTCCTTCGCTTGCACAAAGAACAGCTTCTCATTTGGGAATTGTTCATTGATTCCATGAGATATGTCCTCTTCTTGCGTTAACCTACTGAGGTGATCTGCCACATGATTCTCTTTCCCCTTCTTGTCCTTGATCTCTATATCAAACTCTTGGAGCAACATAACCCATCTAATCAACCGGGCCTTTGTCTCCTTCTTCTCCATCAAATATTTGATAGCTGCATGGTCAGTGTGAACAATGGTCTTGCTTCCGATAAGATACTATCTGAATTTCTCGAAAGCGAAGACTATAGCTAGCAACTCCTTATCGGTCGTAGTGTAATTCTTCCAGTGATTTACTTGCATAGTAGATAACGTTCAACTTGGACTCCACTTTCTGTCCTAATACAATGCCGACGGCATAGTCACTTGCATCCGTCATAAGATCGAATGGCTCGCTCCACACTGGTGCTAAAATTATAGGAGCGGAGGTCAGCTTCTCCTTTAAAACTCGGAAGGCCTCCTCACACTCGCTTGACCAGTGACAATTAGAGTCTTTGCACAACAATGCAGTGAGCGGTTGCGTGATTTGACTGAAGCCCTTCATGAAACGGCGGTAGAATCCCACGTGTCCAAGGAAACTTCGCACTCCTTTCTCATTCGAGGGCGCTGGCATCTTTTCGATTACACTAACTTTTGATCTATCCACCTCAATACCGGCAGATGAGATCTTATGGCCCAAGACAATTCCTTCATTTACCATAAGATGACACTTCTCCCAATTTAGCACGAGATCAGTCTCAATGCAGCGGAGAAGCACTTTTTCCAGATTATTAAGGCATCTGGAAAATGTCTTGCCATATACCGAGAAGTCATCCATGAATACTTCAATGCAGGAGTCCAGGAGATCACTGAAAATATGGTACATACATCGCTGGAAGGTAGCCGGGGCGTTGCAGAGTTGAAACGGCATTCTCCTACAAGCGAAGGTCCCATATGGACAAGTAAATGTAGTCTTCTCACAGTCCTCCGGTTTGATGGGAATTTGGTGGTAGCTTGAGTAGCCATCGAGGAAACAGTAGTATTCGTGACCTGCGAGCTTCTCAAGGCATTGATCAAGGAAGGGAAGCGGGAAATGATCCTTCTTTGTGGTTGTGTTCAATTTCTTGTAGTCGATGCAGACCCTCCAATTAGTGACAGGTCTTGTCATAAAGACCTCCCCCTCGTCGCTCGTTTGTTCCACGAAGCCTCCTTTCTTGGGAACCACCTGGGTTGGGCTGACCCACTGGCTGTCACTGATAGGGTAAATGATTTCTGCATCGAACAGCTTGATCACCTCTTTCTTCACTACCTCTTGCATATTTTTCATTTAGTCGCCGCTGAGGCTGTCTGCATGGCTTAGCGTCAGTGTCCAGCCTAATATGATGCATGCACACCGCTGGGCTGATTCCTTTGATATCTGTGATCTTTCATGCAAACGCCGTTTTTCTTCTTTTGAGCAGTGAGACGAGCTGAGCCTCTTGGTCCAGCAACAGTGAGGCGGAGATTATCAGCGGGTAACTCTCTTCTAGGCCAAGGAATATGTATTTGAGGTGCTCAGGTAATTTCTTCAGCTCGTCCTTTATGTTGGTGTCGCTTTCTGGTTCCCTCGTAGCTCGTTCAATGGATTCAGTGAGCGCTAGTATCTCATCGCTTGCCTCACCTAAATCCTCTTCATCTTCCAGCTCAAGCGACCCGTTATCTAAAATTGCTTCCAAATTCTCAAGTGTTATATAGCTCTCAAAAGTTGTTAATTCATTTAACTCATTGATAAAGTCACAATTTTCTTCCTGAGGTTGACTCAATGCTGAGTTCATAGAAAAGGTGACTTTATCGCCACCAAAGCTTAATGAAATTTCGCCTTTGTCAACGTTTATCGTAGCTTGAGTAGTGGCCAGGAAAGGTCTCCCTAAAATAATTGGAATTTCACGATCTTCGCTTATTTCCATTATAATGAAATCTGTAGGGAAAATAAATTTGTTTACTTGCACGAGTACATCATGAATAATTCCTTTAGGTAATCTTATTAATTTATCGGCAAGCTGAATTACAGTTCTGCATACTTCTAACTCATAAAGCCCTAATTTAGAGAAAAGCGAGAAGGGCATAAGATTGATGCTTGCACCTAGATCACATAATGCCCTAATCGGCTCTAAATTTCCTATTGTACAAATAATAATAAAACTCCCAGGATCACGGAGTTTCTTTGGGAGGTCCTTCTTAAATACGGCGCTGCACACACTCTCCAGCTGCACCGCTGCCGCTTCGTCAGGGAATGCCCGCTTTCGATTGATTATATGCTTGATAAACTTAGCGTAATGTGGCATCTGTGACAAAGCATCAAGAAACGGTATAGTAATTTGAAGACTATGGAAAGTATGTACAAACTTATCAAATTCCTTGGAGTTGTCCTTTTTCCCAAGTCGTGTAGGGAAGGGGGCTAGAGCCAAAGGCTGAGTAGGACCCTTTTCCTTCGGTTCAGGCACCCAAGCGGCTGGTATCGCTCGAGGTTGGGATTGACCTTCTTCCTCAACTGGAATCTGTGAAATTTCATCCTGTACAGGCACATTAGCAACAATAGGGGTAGGAGAATGATTAATACCTCTGTCTGGCAGCGGTGGTGATTGCGTCCGCTTCCCACCCCTGGTTTCGATGGCCTTCGCTTGGTTCGGGACAGCCTCGACTATCCCAGGAAATGTTCACTTTTGCTTCAGCTATCTGCCCGACTTGTATTTCTAGCATTTTGATCGAAGCAGATGTATTTCTTTGAAACTCCTGATTTGCACACTCTGTGTTCCTCCAGAGTTCCTCCAGACTCAGCGGTGCTTGGGCCGCTGTAGGAGGTTGGGCAAATGCAGGTGTCTGATGCGGAAAGTGGGGGGCTTGAAAGTATTGTTGTTGATGTGGATAATATACCCTTGATGATATTGTTGCGCAGCGAACTGTTGTGGCCTTTGAAATTGTTGTTGAGGACGCGGTCCAGCGGGGCCTTGAGCCTGCCCCTTTTGGAACTGCTGAAACTGAGGGGCATTTCTGCCAGCCATATAGTAGACCTCCGCTGGATTCTGAGCCACTTCAGTTGAGCACTCAGCAACCTGCGGACCTTGTTGGTCTACAAAAGCACTCTCCTCACATTCCGCGGCCTCATGCAGCGCCTGTTTTCCTTTGTTGCGCAGATCCTGCTTCATGAGCTTAGAGAGCTCTTTGACTTGGATAGACAGACTGTCTATCCTTGCATCGTGAGAGACGGAAGCAGGAACCTGGTATAGACCCCTCGATGGCTCGGGTCTGTTGGACTCCAGCCAACTTGAATAATTGGCCGCCATCTTCTCTATCAAAGCCCTCGCTTCTGAGGCACAGCCCCATCAACGAGCTTCATGCCGCTGCATCAAGGGACATCCTCAGCTCAGGAGTAATTCTTGAGTAGAAAATTTGAAGCTCCATGAAGTCCGGAATGTCATGATGAGGGCAGTTACGGAGCAATTGTTTGTATCGGCTCGAGGCTTTGGGAAGGGTCTCGTCATTCGCCATCTTGGAAGTTAAGATTTCATTCCTCTGGCGAATGGTTTTTGACACAGGATGATATTTACTCACGAAGGCCTGCGCTGCTTCCTTGAAAGAACCAGGAATGGGATAGAGGTTATCAAACCACTTCCTGCCTTCTCCTGATAAAGAGAATGGAAACATGATAAGTTTTGCAGCGTCCTCCGTGATGCCGTGAGATTTGGAGGTGGCAGCGATCCTGTTGAAGTTCTGCAGATGCTCATAAGGGCTTTCGTTGAGCAGCCCATGGAATTGGCTCTGGCTCGCCAGGCTAACGAGCGCTGGTTTCACCTCATAATGGCCAGAGCCTTTGGGCGCATAACTAGTAAATAAAGTATGATCCAGAAGGGACTGGTAATGAACATCCACGGGGACTTCAGCGAGCGGGCGTTCAGCAGCCCTGTGTCCCTCAGCCCTCTGGTTAGGATCAGCAGTAGGTGGTGGGGGAGTGATGGCAGTGGGAATCGCACCAGTGTTGGCAGTTTGAGCCGCTTGGGAAGCGATAAACACCCCCTGCGCAGCCTGGGCTTTCTCCACCTGAGCAAGGTGCGCTTGCAGCCCCACCATTCCCTGTTGGATGCTACTGAGGACTCTTATGAGCTGCTCCTCAGTCGGTGTGAGCGCATGGGGAATGACAGTGGGGACTACAGTGGGGATATGGAGCGGCACCTCCTGTGAAGATGTAGATGTGGCAGATTTTGAAGATGTCCCAGCGGCAGTCTGGAAAACTGGGACGGCAGTAGAAGGAGCGGTGGCATTTCCTTGGTTCGCCATGAGTTGTTCTTGCACTTGCTCTCTGAACAGACGTCTTTGTGATCGAGCGGAAGGAGTAGGACTCATGGGACACTGAAAACGCTTCGGACCCCTAGATAATGATAGCCATACCAAAGTAAAGGTTAGAACAAAGGTTAATAAAACGCAAAACACAATCATGAAAAAGAGTAAATTATGGCGCTTCAAAAGATCATCAACCAGGATACTTTTCATGAGTTTAAAATCCCCGGCAACGGCACCAAATTATGATAACCAAAAATTTGTATTTTGTAATTTTGTTACAAATCCACAGAGAATTTATATTCGAAACTCAGTGAGTGAATGGTTATAGAGAAGATGATCAGATATAGTAAATCATGTGGTTGTAGACCCTGAGCAGTTATCATAATTATTTATACTCTTTTTACTGGTGAGTTTCCAGGTCGAACACAACAATTTTAAGTCATGAATTTCACAGGTGAAGATCTTGAGAAAGCGACGGAAATAGCATAAAAAGATCCGCTTGCAGCGGATCCAAAACTTTTAATCTATTGAAAGCAGTAAATAAAGCGGTAAGAGTGAATGAGTGGAAGCGAGCGAAGCGAGGGCGGAAGATGAAATGCCAACGATAACCAGATGATCGAGACATGAGCGGAAGCGGGGACCGAGTGAACGGGACATGGATGAATAGCGGTTACCGGGTGAACAGGACATGAGCGAGTGGCACATTGTATATATATATATGTATATAGATGAGCGACAGAGAGTGAATGAGAGGTGTTGTGTCTGACTTGTGCGTTACTAAATGGATAGATTTTCCTGGATGTAATGAGCGAGTGATGTAAGTGTGTTATAAAAAATATATGTATATTACGGAAACGGTTAGAAGGGGGTGATGTAATTGTAAACTGAAATATAAAGAATTCATAACACTGGAATTTTGACCTTAAGGGATTTACAACAAGACTTCAATGACACCCAGAATCGAGACATTATAAGAAAGAAACCCTACTGTCACTAGGAATCTCTGTGACCTAATAGACCACCGCCTATGCCCCATTAATTTCCCCAATTTCTGCCTCATTAGTGGCTTTACCCTTCTGTTACCTCTTTTTAATCAAAATTGAATTCAGAACAGTAATTAAGCAGGTCGACAAGGCTCCCGCATACTTAACTACATTGAACTACCTTGAAACAACTTCTGGCGCATAACAAGGCTTAGATTAATCAATTATTCTCATGCTCTAAACCATTGAAATAAAATTCTCTAAATTCAAACTTTATATAAGTGTGGATAAAGTGTGGAGGAAATGAGTATGAATAAATGAATGATATTTCATTAATTACTACTAAAGCTGGAAGGACTAGAACTACAAAGCTGTAAAAGAAAATAGTAATATAATCTAAGAAAAGTAGTAAAGACTTGGCCAAGGGAGGAGGGAAATCCCTACTCCCTTGGCCATTCCTGTGGAGAACTCCCTTATAGGGTTGGAGCTCTCGGTGACAGAAAGACGACTTGAGTGCAGAAACTAATTTCTAGAAGTATATCAAAACCAAAGTATCGATCTCTCTTTACATAGAGATATCTGACCCTATTTATAGCAGGTTAAATAGGACAATTGCAATCAGTTGCTGGCGGTTCCAACCGTTGGGCAGTTAGGCGGTTGCTGGTAGTTATTCTGTTGAAGCAGTTGCTGGCCGTGACTCCCAGGGCGCTTGCTTTGATTGCATTGAATTGCAAGGGCGCAGATCTTCCTTGCTTGCCAGAGAGCTTGAGGGCATCAGCGCAGCTAGGCTCGCTTGTGTTGGCTGGAAATGAAATGGTTGTACCACTGTAGTTGGAACACTTAGTTGAAATCTGATGATAATCTGCAGCGGTGGGTGTCTGGGCTATCGCTTGCAAGTGGGAGAGGCTATCGCTTGTGAGCGGTGGAAGCTACCGCTTGCCTCTGATGCCTTAGTCTTTTCCAGGAGATATTCTGGTTGCTTGCGAGCGGAGGTGGCTGCCGCATGTGGCGCATGCCTTAGGTTTTCTGGCACCAGACTTGACGCAGCCCAAGTAACTAAACTATACTAACCGAAACTTAAAACTAAATTCAAATAAAAAAAATTAAGTAAGAAAGAAGAAGATATTACCGGTGTCCGATTCGTCAATCGATCAGATGTGAACCCAAGCGTTGCCTAGACCCAACAACTCTAAACCAATCACAACAAGAAAAAATCAGTTTTGTAACAAAATTTTTTTGTCTCTAAATCTATTTTTTCCGTTACTAATGACATTAGAGACGGAATTAGGAATGGAATTACGTTAGCTACATGAACTTTAGGGACGGAATTCCGTTACAAATATATTATTTTTTTGTAGTGAATGGAGACTCGAACAATTTGGCTAGAAACTCCGGTCGGTTTCGGAAGCCACGAACCCAACAATAGCAACGAACCAACAATGAAAGCACAACCGCAAGAAAATCGATATCCACAAATAAACAAGTGGATACAATACTCAAAATCACAATATATTTCTTGGGGTACACTCGTCAATTTATATTGGCTATATTCCGTGAAGTTTAGTTGGCTATAACTCAAGGGGCTTAACAAGGACCGTGAAATTTGAGCGCGTGTGTAAGACGGAGAGGTACATTACGTGGGTATACACGAGAGGGTGAGGATATCATTTATCTAACCATTTATATATATATATTTCCAGTATATTTTTCTATGGCAGGTGAGAGAAGTGACGAGGAACATGATATGGCATCCGCATCAAGCTTTGACCCGAAAATGTTCGTGAAAGATACGATGGTGGAAGTACAAAGGGTACTTCGACATGAGGTTGAGGGACTCCATGCCCGAATAAATAAGTTGGAAACATCGAGGGTAGAAGGGAATGCAGCCCCTTCACGTCTGCACAATGGCATTCCACCTTTAGGACGACGACCTCCCGGGAATGCTACAAGGCATGAACGAGTTCGTGATCTTATCGAAGATGATCGTGACATGAATGAGTGTGATGGAGAAGTAGAGAGCAATGTTCCCCTTCGAGCACGACGAGGGGCACATAGGAGAGATGACAACGATCCAATTCGCTCTATGAAATTCCAAATCCCAGCTTTCTACGGGAAATATGATTCAGAAGCTATCTTGATTGGGAGCAGAAGATTGAGCTGATCTTCGATTGTCAAAAATTTGGATGGTCCACAAAAAGTCCAAGCTGCGGTCTCCGAGTTCAAAGATTATGCCATTCATTGGTGGGACAATATTTGCCTCAATCGAAGGCGAGGTGGAGCACCGATGATTCAAACATGAGAGGAGTTGACACGTGTCATGCGAGCTATATTTGTGACGAGTTCGTATACACAAGAATTGCATGTTCGACTGCAATCGATGAAGCAAGGAAATAGGACAGTCGATGAGTCCTACAAGGATTTGAAGGTGACTTTAATGCGGGCTGATGTTCGAGAGAGTCAACAAGCCACGGTAGCGAGGATCTTAACAGGGCTGAATCGAGACATTGCTGACAAAGTGGGATTGTATTGTTTTGATGATATTGATGAATTGGTGGAACGTGCTATTACTATTGAGAAGCAATTGAAGCGTAAGGGCAAACAGAAAACATTTGGTATGAAGCCCTTCACACCAAATTATACCAAGAAGGATGACAAAACCCAAGTGGCCCAAGGATTTGGTAAAGGAAAAGGTATTATCAAGGATGACACGCCACAGAACAAGCATGTTGGAGCTGATCCGAAGAAGCCGAGGGATCAAGATATCATTTGCTTCAAGTGTCAAGGTCGAGGCCACATTGCAAGTCAATGCCCAAACAAAAAAACGATGATCCTCAATAAGTTTGGGGAATACGAAACGGAATCTGAAAATGAGGAGGGGGTTGATCAAAGAGTAGATGAGGAAAATAACACGGATGATGACTCTGATTCTGGTGTTGGTTTGAGTTTGGTTACCTTACGAGCCTTAAGCACTATGTCAAGGACCTTTGATGAGGAACAACGAGAAAATCTCTTTCAAACTCGTT